AAAAAATTTATGCTTGAGTTGGATCCCAGGTAGAGGAAGGGAGGGTAGATAAATCTCTTGGCACACCTCTACAGCTAGATCCTTTGTTCATTTAGGGCCTGACCATGCTCCTGCAGAAGATGGCAAAAATGCCCCATGTGAGCTGCATTCAGTGGGGCCCACAACTGGTACAGCAGTTTGGAGAATGAGCTGGTCAATGCCGTGGTCTGGAGCTGTGTGTGTGTGTGTGCAGACTTTATTTGGAAGGCACTAACAGAGGGTAAAAACATGTATATGCTGGCACATACGTGGACAGTTTCATATTACAGATTTGCACAGTTCTCAGGAGATATTTTCCTATCATCCCTTCAGCTCTTCATGCCTTTTGCTTAACACTGGCAATTGAATCCATGTAGGTACGTAACTTAAAACCAAATAAAATCAACAGGTGCTCAGGAAAGGTACAGAAATGAAGTGTGGGTTTAAAAAAGTTTTTAAACTCAAGTTAAAAATATAATTAATCAGTGAACAGCATAATGGTTACCTTTCTATCCTCAGCCACAGCCATATGAGAGGTCTTAATAACCTCCTTTATATCCCAGGAACTTTCTGTAAATCAGATTAGTTGGCCTCTCCCTGACCTTCCCACTATATTTTTGCTTGTCTTGTTGGTCTGTGTCAAGAAATACCACTACACAGACAGCACAAGGTGCAAACTCCTGCAGTAAGATGGATCTCAGGTGATAAGCAGGTGCTCCACAGCCTTCCTGCCTATTCTAGAACAAGGTAAGAAAAGGTATTCTGAACTTCAGAAGAAAATACCATGCAGATAATTGTTATCACTAGTGGATAACTATGGGCCCTTTTGTATTATTCTCAGCTATTTAGATTCCATATTAATGAGTTCTTAAGGGTGTACACAATTTTTTCATCCCAAAATTTCCTTTTTCTGCTTCTGAGTAGTGGAAGGAGGTTCTGGTTTGGTTTTTTTTGTTTGTTTGTTTGTTGTTTTTTTTTTTTTTCTTGGTGCTGTTAACTTTTCCCTTGGGATTTGGCTGCTTCTGTTTTGTTATTTTGGTGACTGCCCCACTCATGTGCCTGCCTGAGTTTAAGAAGCGTTGGGACAACACTTTAAGGCACATGGTGTGATTCCTGAGGATGGCGCTGTGTTGGGCCAGGAGTGGAACTTTGATGATCCTTGTGGTGAAATTTGAGCCATGGAAGCAGGCAAGCAGTGCTCCTCCTGACACCCCTCTGAATGACAGGCTGCATGGAAATATCTTTTTTGCTTCATTTTTATCTTTACAAAATGTCACCAAAGAACCTTTCTGAAAGTTAGTGCGACAAACTGCATTTCTGAAAGGTATGACACAGACAACACACTGCAGCTCTGAGCTGGCTCATAGGCCAGAGAGCTGATGAGCATTCATAAGTAAAGCATGAGAATCAAGAATAATTAAATTTCATCAGATAAAATGATAACTCTGGAGGGGATGAAAAAAGTCTTCATACTTAACCAGAGAATGGGCGTTCAGAAATGGGAAAACAAGTCATTACACAAGCCCCAGGATTTATTTCCTTTCAATCTTGTTTGACAACTAAAACTTAATAAAATGGAAAAAGCAAGGAGGCTGCAAATAAAGAGGTAGCTATTGACTAATGCAATACAAAACATTAAATGGTATAATAGCAGCAACAGCAGCAACACTTCCCTCAAAATCTAATATTAGTCTGTGTTTTTACTGGTGTGATTTTTGCCAGGCACATGAAATAACTGCTGCCAGTGAGCAATGGAGATTGATGTCTCTGCTGTGGAGATGGACAAGACTGAATCCATGCTCTGACATATGTGTCCTGCTACTTCCATAACGCTCATGGAAGCTGCAGCAAACACGCCTAAGCAAAGCGCTTTATTGTTTTAGGATGGACAACTGCTGTTCCTAAAGTGCATGTGTATCCATGCACGTTTATCTCTTCAAAGTCATGAGCAGAGCTGCACATTACTGCTGAGTTTTTGTAAAATTTGGCTGTTAAAATTAGGCTTTTAAAATGGCTTCTGTATACTGCAGTATCTCTGTTTGAGTATGATATTGAAGAGTATTACACCAGGTTGTACAAAGAGCATCCACAACTACTGGAGGAGGGAGGGAAGGGAGCGTGACTTGGCTTTGCAAGGACCAGGTTGTTTTTTATGGACTAATGCAGCCAAAGTGAATTAGAGGCATAGAACAGCCACCTCTGCAACTGCATTGTGTGGGTGGGCTTTTGTCTTGAATGGTATCATAGTAATTCACAATTCAGGAGGTGGGAGGAGAAGCCACAAAAAAAGGCTCTTTTATTTATGACAACAAAAGGAATAAATGAAAATTTTCTCCCTAAGAGATGTCAAAAGCCAGGCTAAAATATGTTGTGATGAGTATTTGTTTTGGTTTGGTAGAGAAATACATTTGAGGTTACAAGACAATAATTTTAGTAGCAGCTGAGGGTTAAACCCTTGTCACAAATGTGTATGAGTACTGAAGGACTGCAAAACACTATCTATAGCTCAGTGCTCAGGAAGTAGCAGTGGTTGTGTTTTATTAGGGCTACTTTATTTCTTTTTTAATGTTTATGAAAGTGCATCCAAGGCAATATAAAAATCCCATGTGAGTTACAGAAGGTGCAAATTACATCTTCATTGCACTGTAAAGCATAAAAAGTTGCTGGTTTTCAACTTTTTAATGTGTGAAATCTCAACTGCAGGAGAACAATAAAAGAAAAATTATTTATTCTATTTATTTTTCTTTTTAGCTATTTGATACACTAAAATTTTTATTTCTGTCAGGCAATAAAAAATCCAGTTACGGAGGTTTGCAATGTCCTTGTTTTCTCTATTTATTACAGATTTTAAATGTCAAGGCTAACATTTTTACTTATTTCTAAAGCCAAACGCTCAATTAAAAACAAAACAAAACAAAACAAAACCAAACCTCAAAGTGACCTGAAGAAGACCAGGGGGGAGATACATTCCTACAGATCCTCTGTTTCACACAGCACTGTCATCTCCTGAAGTTCCATGGAGTTCTCTGTCTTAGGAATTGTAATTTTTGTCTTTGGATTACTACTTCAAGGACTTATATTGCAAAATAGATAAATATTAATATTAATAAATATATAAATATTTTGCAATATTTATATTGCAAAACAGATAAGAGAAGTGTCCCTTTTCTAATGAAGATAAGTAAGCATAATGTGATCTCTTCCTTACCTACGTGTATGGTGTTAGTTTGCCTTCCTCATATTTATCATGTTGTTAATAGGGCTCAATTTTTCTTTTAATTTTCTCACATTCCCCATTTTTACTTTAATAGGAATTTTGCAAGGGCCAGAAAAGGAAAACCTTTATACAAGGAAAATCTTTAGCTCAAAACCAATAAAGGTAGCCTAGAAAAAGGAATATAAAAATGCATTTTAGAAGAAACATTACCAAGACAGCAACAAAAGGTTCCATGAACTTTTAAGACACTCTTATGTGTTTCGCTTAAGCAAAAATAGAAGTTAAGATATTTGCAATAAAATTTTCTTGTAGTCACATTTTTTTTGAAAATACATTGAAGTGATTGATCACAAAAATCATGTTACCCTTCACAATGAGAGCCTACCAGTGAGTTCAGAGACTAGACATTGGAAGCAACTCTACTAAACTGGTGAAGTTTCACTGGTATGAAGCAGCTTAATTGAGCTTAGAGGATAACTTCGCCATAAATTTTAATGTGTTGAAACTAGTGTGCTACTGTTGAGAAATGCAGTTGCTTCTGCATTTATAGAAATATAAATGTGTCTATATAGAAAAAACTATTTTCACCTAGGTGACCAGATGTAAAGAATGTTTTAACTACCTGGGACATTCACTTTACATATTTAAGTAAATAATCTAAGCACTGTTTTCAAAACAGAAGGTTGAGATCTGTTTTATAGGCTGTTGTGTATTAGGATTATAATGCAATTTACTTGACAATAAATCTTTCTATAGTTATTGTGCCACAGATGAATGATTTTAAACAACAATGATGTCATTAATCTTGATCTTTGTGATGTTTTGATAGGCATGATAATGTACACATGCTTTTCATCCACTTTGTCTATGTCTTTCTGAGCTGTATTTGCTTATACAGATTGTGAGGGAATAGTTAAAGTGGTGTAGTACATCTGTATCAATTCTTCTAAAATAAAATGTACCTTTAGACCATCAAGTGATGCTAGCATACTTCCAGCTACCAAAAAAGAGAAAAAAATGAACTAAAACACAAAAACCCTGCCAGAGGACATTGGCATATTTGGCTTTTTTAAAACTAAGCTTTTGTACATAGTTTTCCAATCAGCATGCACAGCAAAATAAATCCTGTTGCATTAAATTGCATATGGAGACACCATACTATTTAACATATTGTTCTGTGCAGTAAGCAGCTCTAGCATGAATGGGCAGAAGGGAAGTCTGCACAGTTAGGACCACAGCTTTTGCAAGGTCATCTTCTCCTGACTCAACCTTTAAGAATATGATTTAAAAGCTTTTTGACTTTCTTCAGCAAATGGCCTTTGGCAGGATTAAGCTGTGCTGCTGCCAATCCAGCTCAATACCAAGCATGTTAATGAGGTGTCTTGGCCTTTTTATTAATTCTACAAGCAGGGTAGTCCATTCAGCAGTGACTGAGAAAGTTTAATCAAATAATCTCATTGTTCCAAATTTATCACCACAATAAAAGAATCTACTAAGGAAATACAAGATGAAAGAACTCATTTTTAATGCTATAGCATTTTCCACTAAGAAGCAGGGCAGCCTTGAGGCTCGCAGCAGTGCTAATGTCTGCCTCTCTCTGGGTATGCACTGTGTAGGGGTGTTGCAACCTGCAGGAACGACCTGCATAGCAAACTGTCTGCCCCTGGCTTTTACTGTTGCCCTCACTAAACATTTATACTCTTAAGAGATTTACTTTTTCTAATGAAGTCTTTCGATTTCAAAGAACATCCGGGAAAAAAGTGTAGTGAGATACAGTCTTTATTCATGACAGGATGAAATCTGTCCATTGTAGGAGACAAAAGGTGAAGAAAGGACACTTTTTTGTATATTGTGGGGAGAAGTGAGGTCTGAGTTGGTGCAACAGAATAGTTACAGTAGCTTCCAAAATTAATTCCAAGTCTGGAAAAATAAGAATGGTTAACTTACAAATAGGACTCAAAATGCTTACATAGAAGTAAGCAGCTTGGCCCCACACTTTGGAAGCATTTGGCAAAAGTGTAATGCTTTTTTGATCTTCTATGCTTCCAGATCAAAAATTCAGCTGTGGGTTTTTTAATGTTTCAGACACATGTGCAGCTTCAAACAGCTACCATTAATTTTATACAGTAAAAATTGCCTGTCACATCAGTTTCCAAGTGTTTCTTTCTCTTCAGAAATCTCTCCTGCTGAGAAATCTGTGCAGTCCAAGGCTAGTGACACATTTTTTTGCATTAAAAAAATCCAACTTTAAAAACACCTTCAAAACTAGAAAACAGCCCATAAGTTTATCTGAAGGGTGAGAATTATTAGGTTTTTCTTGGGGCTAACACAACACGAATATTGTGCTCTAGTTTGCTAAAGCTACTTCCTTCCCTGAGCACAAATCCAATAAAAGTTTTCTTTCATATTTTTTCTGGAGTCCTTAATTCTCTTTCCTATATTTTTCCCCCTCATTCCCTGATTGTTTGGCTCGCCTCTCAGCAAACTTGTGGGACAAGGGGGAACTAGGAGTCACGCACAGATAAATACAGAAAAATTGCAGTACCAGTATCCAGCCTTTCCTTCACCTGAGTTTCGTAGCCTGCTATTTCTAGCATAAACAAATAATGTGAAATGGCAGAACATGAAGGGATATCAAGGCTACATAGCATACCAATGGACTTTGACACTTCTGGCATTTCTTAAGATATGGGATATTGAAGAAGTCTGTTCTGCATTCTCTCATTAACACCTCCTTTTGGGACTCTTGCTGGAGGAAGGAAATGTTACTATTTTTCTGCTCTTTTCATTTCAGTTTTTGATTGGAACTTGGAAGAGAGGCACTGGCAGGGCTCGTACGCCACTAAGACATGATGAGTTGTCCTAATTTTTTTATGCACTTCTCATCGAACAATGGATATCAAAACAAAAAATAGGTCTATTTTCCATTCCAAATATAAAGGACTTCTATTTTCCACTGTGTCTGTCAAAGAAAGAAAGTGAACAGTTTATATTCAACCACTTCAAAGTAGCAGATTAAAATCAGCTTTCTTTCTATAAAGCAGCATACCTCCCAGGAACTGGGACACTAACTGTGTATGGCCCTTCCTCACTATAACAGGCAGCTAGATTGTCATTTCCAGAGCTTTCCAGTTACTTTCAGCAAGGTGTCATGACAAAAATTCTGATACTTATTTGGTTTTGCCATGCATTGCAGGGGATTCAGCGCAATGTGAGAGCTCATGTGAAAAATTTGCTCTCACTTGTCTTAAATTCATCTGACTGCTCTCTCAAGCACAGTGTTGGTTTCTCTACTTGAGAGAGCAAGGGTGATTCTGTCAGAGGTGGTCAGGCTGACTTTTGCTTCTCATTCAGTCTTCATTTGGCCGTTCTCCGACTGCTGTATCAGTTCTTCTTGGTTTTCTGAGTTTATTTCAACCACTTCAAGATGGTATTAAATATTTTAAAAACATTAATGCAAGCAAATATCTAGGATGCACTAGACAGTTTCTGCTTTTTTTATTGTTGTTGTTGCTGATTCAAAATATTTTGTATGTGAAATGCATTATGCTCAAAGTTGCACTCCTGTTCAATCTGAACATGCTACAATTAGTCCCATGGATAGAGCTGGAGTCATTTGGGTTATGCAGCAGCATTATATTCATGTGGATGTCAAATTTGACCCCAGCTGGAGAAAATGAATAGCTTTGCCCTACAGCATTTCCATATATTATACAGGACTTTTATCATGTATATTGTATTTCTGTCCAACACCCAAATACCCTGGGACAGGAACAAGTTATTAATAGCTTGGGCTTATACCTTCTGTGCTAAATATAAAAATACTAAGAAGCAGGACTAAGCATCAAATGCAGAATAATTGGTGAGAAGGGCACTTAAGTCTTTCCTTGCTTAAGGAGTGAGCTAATTTTCCTTCTAAAGATTCAGGTTCTAAGGCTGATTTTTATGACCTGGAAAAGAAGGACCATATCAACTTCATGCTGCTGTTTATACAGTAGTGATTGTGTTGTTGCCTGACGAAACATGGTTGCTATCTTAGTCTAGAATGTCAGAGAATCTTTTAAATGTAAAATTCTTATCTTGGGGTCATGGTTGGGAGAAATAAAAAAAAATGCACTTACCTTTCTCATGAAAAGAGTAGTATTTTGATAAATGTAAACTTCCATCCCAGAGAATCTTCTGGCAAGCTAGTATTGATGGGAGGTGAAAATAAATACAGTTTAAGTTATATTTTCCTTTGATATGGCATCACACTGTAGACAACAATGCTAATATATCTTAATGGCTGTGCCTTTTAAGAGCTGGATATCAGTCAAGCATATAATTTCATGTTGTCTGGAAAAACATAAAAAGGAGTATCTAAAAGGACAGAATAAGGCACCACACTCTGGAATAATTAGATATTGTTCCCTTGCTATAGAGTTCTTCTTTTTAGAAAAATACAGTTTCCTAACCCTTCTGTGTTTGAATGATTGCAGGTGTTTTACTAAAGTAATAAACTCTCACTAGTAAGAGGTTCAGAAAGCTGTTCCCAGTGGCTCCAGCTTGGTGCTGCATACCATTTTGCCCACTATTCCTAGAGTAGGTATATTCTGCTTAGCTAATTTTTTTCCGTACACTTTGTGGAATTGCTAGAATACCACAAGATTTTCTTCTCCTTTTATTAAAAATCTTAAACAGCTCCATAAATCTACAAATGCCGAGTCATGTGGAATCCAAAACTTTATGCTTTATTGTCCAATGCCATACAGCTACAGTTTTAGCTACAATGCTTGAACATAATTAAAATAATATACATAAGAATTTTTACTTGCATGTCTCCAGCAGCGGCTATTTTTAAAGAAGAAACATCCCTTACAGCAAGGTTTGGTAAGATCCTAAGAGGTAGCTGTTTGTAGATGTTGCTGTTGCACTTATAAAATTTTGAAATGTCATCTTTATTAAATGTTTCAGTGAACTTTAAGATGTTCACTCCCATGCACTTTTTTCCTCTCTTGCAAGAGGCATGCTCACTTCAAGTTTGTCAGCGCTGCCACCCAAGCTGTTCAAAGTCACTTGTGTGTGTGAGAGGAGAAACACCCATCCGTCATTTCATTTGCACCTTGGAATGACAGCAGCTGGGGAGTAATAAAACAGCTGAAAAAATTTTACTGGATAGAAGAACAGGATGCTTCTGGCATATCAAAGTGGATATGTGTGTAATAGGGTCTCTGACTTCCACAGCTGCTCTCTGGTGCTATAGAAGATGAGCAGCTAAACACATCAGTGATGAAGGCACAATATCTAGCAGGGCTGCAGCAGCCTGTGCTAGTTTGCAGCAGCCTATGCCAAGAGGCAGGTGAGTGCTCAGCAGGTGTCAGTCACTATTGGCTGGTCAACAGTGTTTGGCTCCCTTCATTATTGGAGCCTTTGCTGGCTCTGAAACTATGTTTTATTTCTGGACGTATAATCATAGAGGAATTTTACACTAGATGCATGCAGTATTATGGGAAATTCTCAGAATAAATCCTATCCTTGTCCACCACGTAAAGCCAGAGAGAGCATGGACCGTGCATACCGAACGATGCTGGTCCAGTGATGGCCTTGGGAGGCCTGACTGAAATGATTAATCCATTCGTGCCTTTCATCACCATTCCTGCCCCAAATGCCCTAAAGAGACTTAAATCATGACAGTGATTGGTATCCTTAGATTTAGTGAGCATGGTGCTTTTATGCCCTCATCTTAACCAAAATCATCCTCCAGCATTGATTTGTGCACCCTGCAAGGGTTTCTGTCACTACTGGCGGGCAGCATCGAGCACGTGCACAATTACCCTCTGTTTGCACTGCTGGACCACTGCCGTTCATCTGTAGTGGATTTTGGAACCAGCTTCCTTAACAGCAAACATTTTCCCTCTTCACAGGTTCAAAATAAGGGTTGTAGAGGAAATAAAATAAAGTTAGTGCTTTATTCAATACATGTGTATTTAGGATGATAATTCGTTTGATTTTCATTTGCTGGCTATGTTTTATACTTTCCCTTTCTGACCATGGTGCAGTGATGCTGTAATGTTCCCTTCAGTGACAGTGAAAGGTTGCATTTCACTGATCCAGCTCACTTCCACATTTGATATCTTGGTGGTTTAATGTTCCAAGTAAACTGAGCTAGTGAAGTGGTGAAAGGTAACAACCTTTTCTCCTTGGACTTGATTTTTACCCCCTTCCAAATATATATGGATACATATATAGAAAACACTCTTTGACTTCAACTGTCTATACTTCTAGGCGACCAAGTTTTGCCCAAGAGTCTAAATTTCTTTATTATCCGATTTTAATCTTATTTGTCTGTGAATTAATTCTTTGTATAAGGTAATATCAATGCTCACATGTTCATTTAAGCTTAACTGCATGTTTGCCACTTAAATTTGGTGATGGATTAAAAAAAAACAAAACTAAAGGTGAGTTGGTAGAAGGCTGCGTGACCCGGAGCTGGTTCGGCAGCCTTAGGGGGTATCCAGGTGGGTCCCCTCGTCAGACGGGCTCCACGGTCTCTTCAGAGCCGGTCCTGCTGGGCTCTCCGGCCCCCTCGCGCCGTTCCGAGCTTGTCGCCACGGAACAGAGGGGGGAACGGCTTGGCTGCTCGATCGAGCGGGCACACCCGGGCAG